GTGTTTCAGGAGTGTGTCTCGAACACGAGTGTGTTTCAGGAGTGTGTCTCGAACACGAGTGTGTTTCAGGAGTGTGTCTCGAACACGAGTGTGTTTCAGGAGTGTGTTTCAGGAGTGAGTTTCAGGAGTGTGTCTCGAACACGAGTGTGTTTCAGGAGTGTGTCTCGAACACGAGTGTGTTTCAGGAGTGTGTTTCAGGAGTGTGTCTCGAACACGAGTGTGTTTCAGGAGTGTGTTTCAGGAGTGAGTTTCAGGAGTGTGTCTCGAACACGAGTGTGTTTCAGGAGTGTGTCTCGAACACGAGTGTGTTTCAGGAGTGTGTCTCGAACACGAGTGTGTTTCAGGAGTGTGTCTCGAACACGAGTGTTTCAGGAGTGTGTCTCGAACACGAGTGTGTTTCAGGAGTGTTTCAGGAGTGAGTTTCAGGAGTGTGTCTCGAACACGAGTGTGTTTCAGGAGTGTGTCTCGAACACGAGTGTGTTTCAGGAGTGTGTCTCGAACACGAGTGTGTTTCAGGAGTGTGTTTCAGGAGTGAGTTTCAGGAGTGTGTCTCGAACACGAGTGTGTTTCAGGAGTGTGTCTCGAACACGAGTGTGTTTCAGGAGTGTGTCTCGAACACGAGTGTGTTTCAGGAGTGTGTCTCGAACACGAGTGTGTTTCAGGAGTGTGTCTCGAACACGAGTGTGTTTCAGGAGTGTGTCTCGAACACGAGTGTGTTTCAGGAGTGTGTCTCGAACACGAGTGTGTTTCAGGAGTGTGTCTCGAACACGAGTGTGTTTCAGGAGTGTGTTTCGAACACGAGTGTGTTTCAGGAGTGTGTCTCGAACACGAGTGTGTTTCAGGAGTGTGTCTCGAACACGAGTGTGTTTCAGGAGTGTGTCTCGAACACGAGTGTGTTTCAGGAGTGTCTCGAACACGAGTGTGTTTCAGGAGTGTGTTTCAGGAGTGAGTTTCAGGAGTGTGTCTCGAACACGAGTGTGTTTCAGGAGTGTGTCTCGAACACGAGTGTGTTTCAGGAGTGTGTCTCGAACACGAGTGTGTTTCAGGAGTGTGTCTCGAACACGAGTGTGTTTCAGGAGTGTGTCTCGAACACGAGTGTGTTTCAGGAGTGTGTCTCGAACACGAGTGTGTTTCAGGAGTGTGTCTCGAACACGAGTGTGTTTCAGGAGTGTGTCTCGAACACGAGTGTGTTTCAGGAGTGTGTTTCGAACACGAGTGTGTTTCAGGAGTGTGTCTCGAACACGAGTGTGTTTCAGGAGTGTGTCTCGAACACGAGTGTGTTTCAGGAGTGTGTTTCAGGAGTGTGTCTCGAACACGAGTGTGTTTCAGGAGTGTGTCTCGAACACGAGTGTGTTTCAGGAGTGTGTCTCGAACACGAGTGTGTTTCAGGAGTGTGTCTCGAACACGAGTGTGTTTCAGGAGTGTGTCTCGAACACGAGTGTGTTTCAGGAGTGTGTCTCGAACACGAGTGTGTTTCAGGAGTGTGTCTCGAACACGAGTGTGTTTCAGGAGTGTGTTTCGGGAGTGAGTTTCAGGAGTGAGTTTCAGCAGTGTGTCTCGAACACGAGTGTGTTTCAGGAGTGTGTTTCAGGAGTGTGTCTCGAACACGAGTGTGTTTCAGGAGTGTGTCTCGAACACGAGTGTGTTTCAGGAGTGTGTTTCAGGAGTGTGTTTCAGGAGTGAGTTTCAGGAGTGTGTCTCGAACAGGAGTGTGTTTCAGGAGTGTGTTTCAGGAGTGAGTCTCGAACACGAGTGTGTTTCAGGAGTGTGTCTCGAACACGAGTGTGTTTCAGGAGTGTGTCTCGAACACGAGTGTGTTTCAGGAGTGTGTCTCGAACACGAGTGTGTTTCAGGAGTGTGTTTCAGGAGTGTGTCTCGAACACGAGTGTGTTTCAGGAGTGTGTTTCAGGAGTGTGTTTGGAACACGAGTGTGTTTCAGGAGTGTGTTTCAGGAGTGTGTTTCGAACACGAGTGTGTTTCAGGAGTGTGTTTCGAACACGAGTGTGTTTCAGGAGTGTGTTTCAGGAGTGTGTTTCGAACACGAGTGTGTTAGAGGAGTGTGTTACAGTAGTGTGTTTCAGGAGTGAGTTTCAGGAGTGTGTCTCGAACAGGAGTGTGTTTCAGGAGTGTGTTTCAGGAGTGAGTCTCGAACACGAGTGTGTTTCAGGAGTGTGTCTCGAACACGAGTGTGTTTCAGGAGTGTGTCTCGAACACGAGTGTGTTTCAGGAGTGTGTCTCGAACACGAGTGTGTTTCAGGAGTGTGTCTCGAACACGAGTGTGTTTCAGGAGTGTGTTTCAGGAGTGTGTTTCGAACACGAGTGTGTTTCAGGAGTGTGTTTCGAACACGAGTGTGTTTCAGGAGTGTGTTTCAGGAGTGTGTTTCGAACACGAGTGTGTTTCAGGAGTGTGTTTCGAACACGAGTGTGTTTCAGGAGTGTGTTTCGAACACGAGTGTGTTTCAGGAGTGTGTTTCGAACACGAGTGTGTTTCAGGAGTGTG